ATCTAGATGCCACCCTTGGTTGCATAGCCAGAAGTGTGGCTTCTAGATTGAGAGAGGTATTACTATCACTCTATATGACTCTGGCGCACCCGCAACTGGAGTATTGTGCTCAGTTTTGGGCCCCTCATTACAGAAAGGATATAGCCAGGTTGGAGTCAGTGCAGTGTAGGGCCACAAGGTTGGTGGCCGGTTTGCAGGGGATGGGGTATGAGGTGAGACTGAGGGAACTGGGTCTCTTCAGCCTGGAGAAGAGGAGACTCAGAGGGATATGTTGGCGACATACAGGTGTGTGAGGGGATGTCACATGGAGATGGGTAGAAACCTGTTCTCCCCTGCAGAGGAAGGCAGGACGCGCTCCAACGGAGTAAAGCTCAAGGAACCAAGGTTCCATTTAGATGCCAGAAAGCACTTCCTGACCGTTAGGACCCTGAGGGTGTGGAATGGGCTTCTACAAGAGGTAGCTGAGGCCCCATCAGTGAGGGTGTTCAAAGATAGGCTGGACATGCACATGGTGGGCATGTCGTGAGCGGAGCCGGCTGGAGCTGGGGGTCAGACTAGATGGCCCGGGAGACCCCTTCTGACTCGCCCTGTTTCTATGTTTCTATCTCCACCACATTCTTTGTTTTCTTACATTATTTCACAGACTTTTCCCATCTGGAAGCAAATATTAATGTGTCATAATGACCTACTTTGCATGTAATAGTAGTCCAGAGTATAGGTTGAATCATGGCTTATCCCTGCACTATTTTTAAGCCATGGGTTAAGAAGCCATCTGACAAACAACTCAGAGTTTGCAACCCAGTAATCTATTGATTCTCTTCCTTGATTGTTCATGCTTAACAGCCCATAGTTAAACAAGAGTGCTGGGTTCATATGAATCAACAGTCCGTAGTTAAGGTTGTTGATACGTGGAAACCAGGCCAATGTCTTTGAAATTTATGATCCAAAAAGGCATATGTGTGTGTCCCCAATTTTGAGACTTTTCCTTTTCAGAAAGGCCTCTAGAATGCCCCAGATTGTCTTTAAAACTCTCAGTTTAAAAAGGTGGAACATTTTTGTATGAGACAGATTTAAATAGGAAATGGTGCTTATATAGTATTTCATATGGTACATGTAGTATTTCTGTTCCTTTAAAAAAGAGCTCTTTTTGTAAAATATTCCAAATGCATTTTAAACAAGTGATTTTGCAGAAGGAAGATAGTGTATGTCCACCCATGTCATTTCCCTTTCTAAAACTATAAGCTTCCCTGCCAAGTCATTATGCTGCTTTTTGACCTTGGAAGGTACAAGAGCATTTTGGTGCTGTAGGAGTACTTTTGAGAAGGAATCAGACATGTGTGGATAGGACCTTACCCTTACTGGAGTGCAGCCAATCAGTGGCACTACATCCTAGTATTTTACCACCTTTTGAGCACTAGAACAAACATCTGATCTCTTTTATATATGTTATTTCATCCAGAAATCATTGTTTGAAAAGGGGAAGGAGTCATTGGAATCTGAATTCCGTAGCCTAATGACCAGACATTCCAAACCAGTTCCTCCCATTCTCATTTTGGATCTCATCACAATGGATGATGAACTGGAAACTCAGGAAGACATGACTTTAGAACACCTCCCTGAAAGTGTCCTACAAGACATTGTCCGTATTTCTGGTTGGCTGGTGGAGTATGGTAGGAACCAAGGTAAGTTGACTGAGAGAATATCCTCCCTTTTATTTTACAGTTCAGGTGAATAGCTATTTTTATTTTCCCAAGCTTTAAACATGGGTTAAACTTGAACCAGGCAAGAGTTTTTTCCGTCCGTCCGTCCGTCCGTCCTTCCTTCCTTCCTTCCTTCCTTCCTTCCTTCCTTCCTTCGGCACAGATGGCCCATAAAATATGCCCTTTGCCTCTAGATCATGGTTACAGCCACTAACAGCCCAGTTTTCATATTACATTTGTAATCTTCATGGCAAGAAAGCTATGTTTGTAAAAGTTTGACAGAAAAAAGTTACATGAGAGGAAGTATATTGAAAGGCTTGTATTGTGGATTAGTAACACCATGTTCTATGAATGAAGAAGGAAGCCAGCAAAATAGTGTTCCTACATGCCTTTTTGCTGTTCCTTTTTCTTCCTGTGGCCTTTTCTGTTGCCACCCAATGGAAATTTCTATTTCTCCAGCTAATTGAAATTGACCGTATGTCTATTTTTTCCAGGGCAATTATCTAAGCAATATTCTGCTATCACTGGTCCTGGTCTCCCAATCAGTTCTACTCTTCCAGCAGCTCTGATACTTTCTTTCTTTGAGGACTCTGAACATTTTTCCATGCTTCCTTCTATCTTTTCTTTCTCCTTCACTTTCTCTTTGCTTTCCTGAGTGCCATCACAAAATGGCTGCCATGAAAGCCATGACAAAGGACAAGTAACCTACCCGGAAGAGTGAGCTTGAGGCCTAGCTGGGGTCTCTAACAGCTCCTTTAAAGCTGCAGATTTCACTAGCTACAACAAAAACATATTTCATCGTAACCCCAGCTATGGGTAAGAAAATGTGTTTATTTTAAAACATGTGGATGGGTTCCAGGAAAGGTCTCAAAGGATATTGGTGCCCTTCTTTGACTTCTTTGTTAAAATGATTTTCTCTCCCCAACACCAAGGCATCAAGTGGATGGTTGTTCATGTCTGCAACCTTGGATTCTGTTTCCCAGATTAAAATTTCTTTCTTTTTCCTCTAACCTTCTCTTGTACTTCATAATCTGTTTTTTGAACATAGCTTCCTGACTTTAACATTCTAACTAAGCATTTGAATTCTAAATATTAACCACTTAGTTGAAAATTACAGTTACACACACATACAAGCTCTAAACCCAAACTATCATAAAACCAGACAAAATGCAAATATGTATAACAGTTCTATTCCATCACATTTGGATCCTTTATTGTCAAAGTTCATACACAGTGATTATTTAATGACTGCTTGCCATTCAACAATTACAGTGTGCACTAAAATCTTGTGAATGTTTTTTTCAGAATGAATTCCAATTTTATTCATGGGACTTACATGGAATTGAGCTTTACCATGCAGTTACTATGCAATTAGTGTGGCCTATTTATCATGTAGTCAATGAAAGCAATGAAACTCACGTTACATTCTATTATATTTGAGTAAAGTCATGGTTAGTCCATATCGACATAATTTCTTTCTTCAGGTGGTTCTGTTTGCTTGGAATAATAATATATAATTTCCTTCAGAAGTTCATTATGAGGAAATGTGATTGAGTTTTTGAATGGTACTTTTTAAAGAGGTATTTCATCTTCTAGCTTTGAAAGAGTCCAGGAAAATAACAATAACATGTTAAGGCACAGATGTTAAAAACAGGCTTCTGTTAACTGCTATAGTGGTTGCTAAGGGCACAGTTTAAGGGGGGATGCACAGATGTGCTATAATTTCACTTAAGCCTTCCTTGGAACACCTTATCCCACCAAATTTGGAAATTAAGCTCCTCTTGAAGAGAAATGGTTATTTTGAAGTAAAACAGAATGGAGAGCTGATTCAAGGGAATCTTGCCAAATTACTCTTACAGGTGTTTGCTTATTTATTATATTTTATACTGCTCAATAGCCAAAGTTATTTGAGTGCTTCACAACAAATTGTTTGGATGTCATATGTACATTTCTCTGACTTGTGTCCTAAACATGCTATGCTATATGAATTCAGTCATGCTGTAGTTTCTCACTGCTGTCAGGAGGAGGAGGCAGAATTCAGTGAAATGGGGGAAATTCTCTGAAAACTGGGAAATTGAGTCAAGTTTTGCTAAAGCAAGGTAAAGTAACTGTCATTTAATAATGTAACTGTGGAAACCTCAAGTAGAAACATTTGCAGAACTAGAAATCGAGTGCAATCCTATGTGGTCCATTTACAGGTAAATGCTATTGGTTTCAGTGGCACTGGCTGACTCCTAAGTAAACGGGATTACAGCTTTAGGCAGTGACTGTCTGCCAGCCACTGAAGTCAATGGGTTAGTTTGCATAACTCAAGAGCACATAGTGGGTGACTTGACCCTGACAAGCTTTGTGTGGGTGTCCGTCACCATCATGCAAATCCTAGTCAGGGTTGTCATATCATGTGAACCCAACTGGCAGGATTTATTGGAAGGTAAATCCTTGCATATACCTCAGTCTGTCTTTGGGTTGTGTGAGGGTTGTTTAGCCCTCAAATAACACCCCCACCCCACTTTCATTTGGGGATTTTATGTTCATAATAGTAGTCAGATGCACTGCAGCTCTTCAATAATAAGGAGACATGATGGGCTGCCATGTCATGTGAAGCAGGTCAGTGTAGCTAATGAACAGCAATGTTCAGTTACCTGACTGTTGAAGTCAGTGCAGCTTGCCAGCTTTTACGTGCAAATATGCCTATTTAAGTTGTTTTAGGATCACGCTGTCTGGCATGAATGTTCAAAGCTCTCAGAAGAAATTAGAAAGCCATGCATATTATACAGACATGACAGCATACTACTAAGATCAGTTATGAGTCTGTAACAAACCTACATTTTTAAAAGCCTAGATCTTGTTTTTTGTTTTTGTTTCTTTGTTTTTTGGAAGCAGGAAAGTATACCCATCTGGACAAGATAAGCTTTTTTCCTAGGTCTCATCTGTTTTCCATCTGCAGTTATAATTCTACTGTGTATACTCTTGTGCACAGAGCATGATACAGCCTCATTGATTTTTTTCACCTCACTGGTTCCGAGCCTTCATAATCCTCTATTCCCTGTGTGTTCTTGAGTGAAGGATGGTTATTTCTGAGGTGATAATGGCAAGCAGATGCAGACTAATGTGGAACAGAAAATGAAAGTGCACTGTATGTCCTTCATAAAACTCCAGGTGGAACATTGGTGTGCATCTGTTCTCCGTGAAAATTATATAGTATTTTGGAGTTATGACTGTGTTTTATCTATACTATCTTGTGATCCTTATAAAAGGGGTGCAGAACTGCTTCTCGCTTCAGGACTAAGTTCCATTTTGCAAAAGCTTTCAGGGCTGTGTTCCAGTGTAGACCAAGGCCAAAGACAAAAGAGATGGGGCTCAAACTACCAGGCTGTTTTAGCTTATAACTGCCACCAACTAAGCCTTAGAGAGAGGCATTTTAGAATCAAGGGAAAACTACACAAGGGCCAGGAAACATAGTCTCTGGTTGGGGAAAAGGAAATAGGACCAAGGGAATGAGTTGGGGCAATCCAGGGGACCCCAAAAGGCCACACGTGGACCTTATGAGAGCTGAACTTGTCCTTTGGTGCTGCTGTTCTACACCACTGCATTATACCAGTCCTGTTAGAGAAGACAGTATGTGTGTATTGTTAATAGGTTGAGGCTGAAAGTGAGAGTAGTTTGCCTAAAATCTGTATGGAAGATTTAAGGTGAAAGGGGATAAACTGGAGACTTTCTAATTTGGAAACGACATGGGGTATGCATAGCGGGGAGGGTAGAGAAAACAACAACAGCTTATTTCAGATCACAATGCATTAGTTCCCCCTTCCAGCCCCCTTTTGCAGTTCGTGATGATCTGTCATAGGTAGAGAATACAAACAAACAAGGTATCCCCTCCCATAGATACTGCTATCTTATACAATAGCTGAATAAACAACAACAGGGTTGTGCTTAATAAGGGTGCTGACAATGTCTGTTTTTTTTATGTGATGTAGCCTCCAGCAGTGCCTGGATAGGAGGCTGCATTGAATCCATATGTAGACTGTCCTGAGTGCTTTAGATGAGGAATGGAATAGAAGTATATCCTGGAGAAGGACACATATTCTCAGCTTCCCTTTTCTGTCTCCAGAAAAGAAATATTAGTGTGCTATCTGGCAGGATTGTTATAATGATGAATAAAATAAGAACTTTAAAGCATTTGATTTCCTAAGGGACTAATTACACATTTAATGAAAGTACAGTGTTATTTTCTACTTTTGTTCCAAAATAAAGTAACTTTTCTACACCTGCTGTACTGCCACTCAGTTTCCCTTACCCACAATTGTTCTATCTTTACAAAAACAAGTGTCAGCTTTTATTTGTCTCCTAGCATGTAAAATGTAGCTTGGCTTTAAATTAAAGAATGCAATCTATTTTCTTTGAAAATCTATTTTCTTTGAAACTACAGGTAGCTAATAGAAGTTTCTTCTTGTTCTGAAATAGGAACATGCAAAAAATGATAAAGGATTTAAAGTACATTCCTCTGTCCCTGAACTCACTGGAACCCCAGTTTTATTTACAAGTGCCAGTCAAAGGTGAAATGAGTGTGAGACAAGTCAAAGGTCCCAGGAAGACTCAAGAGAATTTTCATCACTTCCTTTCTTTTTCTGGAATAAATGTGTAAAAAATGCATGATTAGGTCATGAGTTAAAGGAGCTAATTAGCTGTTTTGGAGCATCCTCAACATTCTTTCCATGCCTTTGAGGTATCAGCTCTGTCTTTCTTTCCCCAGCAGTTCAGCAGCAGGAGCAGCAGGAACTGATGGTATCTTCAAATCCAATTTGGAGTGAGTAGTGGAGGAGTCAGCCAGGATTTTTTTTTTTAGCTTCTTGGTAGAAATCTGGATGGGAAAGGACAGTTGGAATCAGGCACAACTGTAGTAGGTAGAAAGACCAGCAGTGAGAGACAAGAGGGAAGACTGGTATGTTTATGGTTACTATGGAATTCAGGGACTCTATAGTCTAAGATTTCTCTACAGTGTTATGGCTTTGTACATGATCAGAGATCAAAAGATTAAATTTACAGATGCAACCCTGGAATTCTACAAGATGTATAAGATACAAAGTGGTAACAATAGGCTGACAGCTGAATCTTAAATTAAAGATGCATTCTATTTGTGAATTCTCACAATAAAAGTGGTTTTCGAAGACTGCAGAGCATGATTTCCCTTCAGAATCCTATGGTTTCTGGAGTTTTGCTGCCTACAAAACCCAGTTTGCACAAGATGAGATATGGGCAAGGAATCTATGATTTGCTGCAGTGCATGCCAAGTGTGTTCCCTGGCTGTTCTGAATATTCAGTTCCTAATCAGGCCCTTTGAGGGTTGCAGTTTGACTTCTAAACCTGACAGTATGTGTTAATCATGAGTTAAACAGCTTACAGTTCAGAAGGAACTGTGGATTGTTTAACCCATGATGTGTTTGGCTCATCCAGTAACCCACACTCAAGGTTGAATATGGGTTGTCATTGAACCATAAGTAGCTATTGAAATGTGGGCTTCTGAGTTGTCTGAACCCAGCTGCACTAACAAACTAGTTTGTTAATCACAAATGAGCCACTATTCATAACTTAACAACAGACCATGGATCCTTTTTCATGGATTCCCCATGATTAGTTTTCACAGTAGGATTCAGACAACATAGTACCCTGCACTCAAAGGTTGAGTGTAGCCTGTCATTAAACCATGGGTTGTTTTTGAAATAATAGGCTATGTTGTCTGAATCCAGTTGTGCTAAGAAACCATAGTTTGTTAAACATAAACAGGACTGTGAAGGGGGAAGTGCTAACTGAAGAGGGAGGGGTTTGTGTGTAGATGGGGAAAGAATTGTGGGCTAATATGGTTTAGACTGGAATGATCAGAAGATAGATCTGTAGATATTTGGGGCTTCAACTTCCAGGAGCTCCTGTCAGCATGGCCAATGGACAGGAATACTGGCAGTTGATGTCCAAAATATTTGACAATTTACTTTTTCTCCTTCCCCACTCTACATTATTTGCCAAATAGACATGCTGCCTGGAAATTTTTATGTAGATGTTAATGAATTGGTGCACAGTAACATGGCCCCAATCCAAATTATGTTTCTCTGTTCCATAAGAGTAAAGCAGGGGTGTGGAAAATTAAAGAGACAAACAGTGTTTTCCTTTATTAAAAGCAGTCTGGGTTTTGGAACTATGGTAACTTAAGTCATGCCCCCATCTCCTCTCCATATCTGCAATCTTTCCCACTTTTTCAGAAAATGAAGTGGGGAGCTTGCATATCCTGTGTATCTGGGCCATAATTTCATAATGATGGTTTATCTGAGCTGAGTTTTTTGAAGACAGAGACTTCTTGATCAGTTCAGTAATTTGTCTACATAAGCTTAGAAAACCAGCTTATGTCACAAGTGCTCCAGCAAAAGATGCTCCAGCTGCAAAATTAACGCAGCTGGCGATTCTTCTGAAATTATTACTATGAAACTAATTGCTGTTTTTAATGCAAGCAGTAATTGGTGTCATTTCCTTTAGTCCAACTATTGACTTGTTTAGCTCCCGTTCTAGGAAACCTCTTGTCTGAACCAAGCCATATGGACCTCTGTTGTGTGACATTGTTTGCCTTTTCTTTTTTTCCCCTTTGGTGGTGCAGGTTTTTACTGTCTGTGTGAGGAGAAGCAGCTGCCTGCAGGACCCCAGAAAGGAGGCTTAAGGAAAGAGCACAGAGCCACTTCTTATACCAGCATAGCTTCTAGGGAGAGCTTTGTAGAGCGAGCATTCAAAGAATTAGGACACAACTGTAGTAAGTGTAGGAGACTCGGATTCAGAAAGCATCAGGGAGTACTGTAGAAAGCAAGACTACCTTTGTGTTACTTGAAATTTATTCTGTAAGTTTCTCTACAATGCAAGCACTCTTTAGAAATGGTAATTGTAGCACAATAGTACTCCAAAAAACACACCCCAAAATCCTTTTGCCTTCCAATGAGTATTATTGGCTACTGTTGTGGCTTTTTGTCATTTTTTCCTTTATCAGCAGTATTTTTGCTAATACGGCATCTACAGGTCAAGCCTCATTGCTGATCCTTAACATGCCTCATTTTGGTACATTGATGCATGTTCTCATTTCTTAAAAACACAGTGAAATATTTTTAACCTTAGTGTTTGCAAGTGTGATTTGTGCTATCAATAAGTGGTGTTCAGTTATGAACAAAATTATCAGGTGGTTTTTGTCATGTTATCTTAGTCCATATCAGAAGTGACTGGAAACTGACAAAAGAGAATGAAGTTCATTGTTATATCTTTCATATGTTTTTCTTCCTAGACTTCATGAACGTTTACTACCAGATCCGTTCCAGCCAATTGGACCGCTCTGTCAAAGGGCTGAAGGAGCATTTCCGGAAGAACAGTTCTTCCTCAGGAGTCCCATACTCTCCTGCCATTCAGAACAAGAGGAAAGACACACCAACCAAAAAGCCCATCAAAAGACCAGGTTAGTCTTACATTTTAGGCACCGATTCCTTGTCATGTTCTAGAAGATCCAGGCCTGGTAGCATCACTTTGTATTTAATCAGTCTGCTGATAAAGGAAAAAAGTTATCCGCTGATTTATGATAATTAGTTGATCCTATATTAGGTGTTTCTGTAATTTTCCATTTTACTAGGACCCCACAAATGTTGCCATGCTGGTAACATAACAAGCCCATTATGTAAAAACTGCATGTTCATTGATTGATTTATTTTTAATGAAGTGGCTAAAGGAAAACAGGTAGAGGAACCTTCATTTCCTGCAATAGTGCTAGGCCAATGCTCTCATGCATGTTACTGGCCCTTCTGTCCAGACATGCTGTATGTATTCTTGATCTGACTAGGACTCCAGCGCTCCCTAGATTTCTGCTCTATAAGTGCAGACAGAAGTTAGTTTATATTGCAGTCCCAGTAATAGTGCCTGGGTCTCCCTAAGGGCAAATGATTCTGTAGTGATCATTGCTACAAACAAGATAGCGTTCCCTCTATTTCTTTTAGTCTTGGAGACTCTGCTGGCTAAAGGAAATAAAGTTTCACCAGGTGAGAACATTTAGGAGTCCCTATGTATGTTCACTTATGCTACTCCCTGGTGCAATCTGTTGGTGATGTGGATTCTCAATAAAATAACAGTTCTTACAGCATTTAAATGATTCCCCCACCAAAATAATTCTCTTTAAACCTCCCCTTTCCTAGGTCATGACTCTCTAAGACTCTCTTGCCATTTGACTGCTGATGTGTTTTGAATACAGCCAACCTATAGCATAGTTCTTTACTGAACAGAAGTGGTAAACATTGAGTGGAGAAAGCAATATTAAGGCAGTTTTTCTATGCAAGTGTCTTCCTGTGTTTCAGTCAAATGAGTTCAATGTTGCAAGTGACATGCAGGAAACATGAACTAACTTACAGGATGAAATTAAGAATTGTAAATGCTGTTCTCCATAGAAAAAACAGACAAGTAGAAGGGGTATGGAGCTGTCAGAGATTAAGTTGTGAGGCATGAAAATAGCATGTTGTAATTCTTTTGTGTCCTTTTTATTTTTTATAATCCTTATGTGAACGGCAGTCCTCATCCCAGGTAAAGTGTGTGCTCCGTGTGTCCCTTCTGCAGCTTTACAGAACTTTCTGGACTTCTGTGTGCTCAAATGCCACTGCAGGCCTGTTGCTGCTGCTAGCAAAGGGTGTGCTTGACATATTCCAAGGGAGAGCTGCCCGTGGAAGCCTCTATGCTATGGAGGCGCATACTGTATTGCTGCCATGTCTTGGAGTTCTTCCTGAAAGCTGACCAGTACTGAGAGAAAGGGAGGGAATATTTACTTCTCCAAGTCAACTGCAAAGGGTTATGTATAGCTTTGTGAGATTATTAGGTGTTTCCTCCTCACTTAGTGATAAGCGAACAACCCTTTGCATCTTAAGACAGGAAAAGCCCTAGAACTTCCAGCATTTTCCAGACAGCCATGTGGGGAGTTGGAGGAGACCACTTCTGTCTAAACATACTTAGGATTGCACCCTTAATTTACTGAGCCAGGGACATTCCTTTCCACCAAAAGCCTTTACACTTTTCCAAGCTTGGGTCTGAAAGAACTATTCTAGCTAAGATATACCCAATCACTGGTATGTTAGGAAGTAGATTAATTCAGCACTGTTTGATTCCCTATGACATTTCCCAGCTGGTAAGTCATTACAGATAGGTAAAGTAGAGGAGCAGTTCAGTGGACTAAATGAGACTAATTTATATCCTTAAAGAGCTTTGTCAGATGTCCTAACTGTTCACTCATAGAACCTGCAGTGCCAAACTGAACAAGCTAATTCCTTCCTGTGTGCTGGATATTCTGAGTCTCCCAGGACTCAGTCGTATGGCTGCTAGACACTATCTAGGTTGGAGTCCAGCTACAATCTTGAAAATGCATGTCGAGGTCAGAGCTGGGATTCGGACTGTGGAGCTAGCCAACACTGGGGGCAGTCCAGGGAAGGGGAGGAGTGAAACTTGACCAGAATTGCTGGGCCGAGGAATCCCAGCAGTACCTCAGTCCGTCCTGACATGCAGAGGCAAAAGACATAGATGGCTGAAATCAGCTATCTGTATCCTTTGCAGGGTAGGAGGCATGCAAAGGCAATGCTTACCTTTGCACTCCTTCACACTTGACTGGGTGTCCATAATCTTCCAAGCTTGGAAGGTTACAGGCAGCCACATTGGACGGTTCCCCTAGTTACTGGAATTGGTAGAAATCTGGAAAGTGATCAATCAGCCCTAACAGTACATGTCTGAAATAGACTGCAGTGAAGCGAAGCTTACAGAATAATGACAGATAATTGTGCCTTCATCATCCTTTGGCAGATGGTTTTATTTCCCAGACACTATTCAGCTTTCAAGGGCAACTCTAAAGGTGAAATTCTAACATCTCCGTCAAAATTGTTGTTCTTTGTTTCTTTTGTTGCAGTGTAACCATCTTTTATTTTGTCTTTTTATCTGTCTCGAATGAAGGGCAAAGAAATAACTTTTCCATTTTCTGTGCTGCTGTTTCACAAGTTCATGGTAAATCTATACTCCTAGCCACTTTTAAGTGTCTGGGTTGAGTTCCACAGTTTTAATGAAATGGAACTCAGCACTACATGTCTCATACAGCAGTTGGGCTAAACTTGCATCATTTGAACAGGAATTGGACAACTTCTAGGTCAAACATCTGGACAGCCATGATGCTCATGAGTCTTCACCCTTGGCTACATTACCTAGATATGATGGGAGCAATTGTTTGCCCATCCTGGATTTAAACCTTCGTCCAGATTCTCAGAGAGGAAATATCTGTGAGTCTGTGCACATAAAAAAGAAGAGTGGGGACTATTATATTAGGTTATATTTGAAGATGCAAGTGGTAAATCCCTACCCAAATGCAGCTGGACTTGGACATAATTTACCTTTTTAATATATGAACTAACAATATCTTTTATGCTGTTGGGCCCCATGCCTCTGCACCCTCCTTGTAATTAAGTTAAAAGACTCCTCTGGCATCCCAAACAAGACCTCCTCTGGGTTGGTGAGACATTAATCTCATCAAGGAAAGCACTGGATGGATGCGGAAAAAAGTACAAGCTGATACACTCAGTAATTCCTAGGAATCCTGTAGATGCGTGACTAAGGTATCGACTCCGGTGCAGTGCAGGTGAAGAGGTTAGATTAATTTTTTTTGTTTCATACCAGGAAGAAAGTTGGTATGTGAGCCCTAAGCAATGAAAGAAGTTTGCAGTAAAGTTACTCTAAACACCCCCCCCACACACACACACACACACCTTTAAAGGCATTATGGTAATCGAATTTTACATTGATCCCTTTTGAAAAAACGTTTCTTCCTGAAAAAAGGAGCTGGAGCAGGGTACAGAACCTCATACCTAGAAATCAAATCCAGTCCTCCTGGATTCCCAATCTGTCCTGCCAGGGTTTCCCATAAGGGCACATCCCCTTCCCTGTGCTCCACTCCCCTTATACCAATTCTCAATCATTTGATGGCTTCCCAGCTTTTGTGCATTTCTCCCACCTCATACTAAAAGGTGAAAAATGCCTCTTCTAATTAGGGCTTAGTTGCTGGTAGTAACAGCTTTAAGCTAAAATATGCTGGCATTTTGTTTTTGGTCCTGCCCAGCACTAGAACGTGGCTGCAAGAGATTTCCTGAAATGGATTTTGGTCCTTGCATGGAAAGAGGTTCTTCACCCCTGAACTATACTTTCCTTTCTCTCCATGTTGGTTACATGTAGTTTACATGCATCAAAGCCCATCTTCTGACTGCTAACCCACCACACAAGTATCATTGAGCTAATACTTTCCAGAATGCTTGCAAGGAGGAAGGACAGCTGTGTAAGTTTAGAAACAGCAGCATGTTCCTCCTCTCCCTGTTTGACCATTTCTCTACTTTTGAATATGATGCTTTTGTTAGTAACCACCATGTTGTCCCACTTGGTTCAAAAGTGCCTTATCTGGAGAAATAAACCCAGAACAAAGGCATTTGTCTTCCAGTAGAATCCATCCAGTAGAATCCAAGCCTAATTAGGATGTTAAATACTCTGCTCTTCAGTTGAACTGAATTAATAGCCAGCAAAGCTAGGTACATCTGGGAGTAAACATGGTTAATTGGTCGCATACAGATTGGAAGATGTTGAGACATTCAAGGTTCTTATCTGTAGAGAGCAAAGAGGACTAACACTGTAGTCTTGCAGTGGGAATAGCTCATAGTAATGCTGCATACATAGTAGCTAAACTCATTTTGATGTCGCCCACAAAAAATAAGAATGCTCATTTCAGTTAAGCCCAAGTTCTGAAGAACTTTAGTGGCTTTCTGCATGACCTCTTAAGATGGCAAGGCTCAACCAACTGGCACTGGTAACTTCATTCCAAGAATCCTAGAAATGTAAGTTTAGCAATGTAATGATTTACCTCATAATTTATTGTAAGATGTAGATTTTAATTGGAGCTTGTAAAGGGAGTTTGCTGCTTATAGTATTGTTTAAAGTAAGCTACATATTTATCCATGGCTATGACATTATGATTTCCCAAAATACACCATTTTAAAATGCAACTTAGAGCCAAATAAAATACACTTGATTAAGTATAGGTTCAGCGTAAATTCTACCCTATTTTTTATTTTCTTGCTATTAACCAATCAGCTTCAAGATTTTTAAGAATTTGCTGACTATGGAAATGGATACACAACAGAAGTGCATTTGGTGCTTGTAGGGTACACTGTTCATGTTCACCACATTGTAGGCTTACAAAATTTTAGGTGAAACTTCTCTAACAGCAAGGTAATCACTTGCAGTAGCGACAGGCATACCTGTTCTACCACAATTCTGCTGCAGTAGATAAAGTGCAATTGCAATTACTAAATTGGGTATGCTGCAGATGTGAAATTTTACATCAGCAATAACAAACATGATATGCAATTCCAGGAACATCTGGGTGTTAGATTTGGGCCATTTGGTGGATATTAGAGTCAAACTGCAGGGTATTGTCAATGAACCAATTTTTTAAAAAGTTTCTTCATTTTTTCCTCATTGGAAAGGCCGTGGAGCTCACAATGCCTTTCCACTTTTCTGTTCCTTGGTCATGTCTACAGTAGTCATATGTCTGATCTACTGAAGCAACAGTTGCCCCCTTGGTGTGTGTATGTGTGTGAGGTTTGTGTTTACCTATGTGTACTCTTATTTTGCTTTGTTGCATGTTCACTAATACTTTCTGATACAAAACTGAGGTTTGTTTGTGGACCAACATTTTAATGCTTTCTCTTGTGCTTTTTTCAGTGTTTCTTAGTTGCAGCATCCTGCTTCAGCTATAGTTTAATGCTCTTTCTTTCTTTCTTTCTTTCTTTCTTTCTTTCTTTCTTTCTTTCCTGTTTTGTGGGGTAATTGATGTGCATTCAGAATATAGAGTGCTGGGATGTGGGGAGGGAAGGACCCTTTGTCCTTCTTTCATTTTGCTGTTTAGAGAAGGGGTTGGAACAGAGATGGGTTGGATGGTTAGCTTTTGCTTCTTTTGCCTTTAGCTTTATTGCGTGCTAACCCTGTTCTAGAGAAATGGAGTTTCTCTTTACTCTTTTTTTAAAGAAGTCCAGTCTAGCCATGGTGAGAATGCTCAAAAATAATTCATAGTTTATGATTATGTCTGTGGATGCCTTAGGTACCCATTGAAGATAGACCACTGTGAAATCTGGAGGCTGTTGTAGAAATCATCTTACTTCTGGCCCATCTGGTGGTGGTTTAAAAACCAAACCTTAACTGATAGAGGATTGGTAAGAATTCAGTATGTAGAGATTTCACATATAACACAGAGCAAAATGCCCCCTCTACAATTCTCAATGCTAATTTATGCTATTTATGCAATTCCCATGCTATTTCTTCATTTCATAACAACTGGAATAAATAGTCTAAACAACAAACACACAGTGATATGCAAGAATGGAAGATGTTGAATATGCCTAACTTCAGATAGTGAATGCAATGTGCATGGTGAACAGAAAAAAACAAAACAAAAACCCCTTTCGTGTGACAGGACCTCTTCCATTTGTAATGGAGCAGGTAGAGCATGCATGCAAAACAAGTGGATCAGATCCCGTGCTTGTGCTCACAGACCTTGTGGCAGGTAGTCCACCAGAACGTTAGCACCTCTTTTCATCCTACAGCTTGGCAAAAGTATCACCACTGCAATATTTATTTCATGCTTTGCATGGGTCGATCTGGAAAATCTTAAGCTTGCTGTTGGAAAAGAGGCTTTTGGTGGCATTGGCAGCATTTGGAACCAAATTAACACAATACATTTTTCAGTCTCCAGAGGGAGACTGGCTACATTACAGGGCACACAACCAGACATTCCTGAGCATGTGTGCCTGTGTATATACAGAGCATTCTCACTGTGGGCCAACACTACCATGCTAGGTTTGGTTGACAAGGCACTGGTGGAGGGTTACTTGGTGTTTTGTTTCTCTTTGATTCATTTCCAAGGTCTGTTTGTCTCTCCTCTCTTGTGGCTCTGGTGACAGGCACGATCCGTAAGGCTCAGAACCTTCTGAAACAGTATTCTCAGCAATGTCTAGATGGGAAAAAGGGGGCCTCTAACCTCATTCCTATGGAAGGTAATTGCTTCTCTCTCACTATCACTCTTGGGATCTGATTTGGGTATTGGTCTTCCTTCCTCTTCCAAGGCTTCTGTTAGTCTTTAGCCTCACTGCTGCTATGTACACAAGACCACAAGAAATCACCTGACTTTTTGGAGACTCAAAAGACTACACAGAGCAAAGAGATGAATACAAAAGACAGGGCAGAATTGACTCATGACATTGATTATATTCACATTTACATACCAGCGATTTAAAACAACAAAAGCACAAGAACATTAAAAACTGCAAAACATTAAACTGCATAATTTAAAAGGATAAATTAAAAATGTACATAACTTTGAAGAACTGTGAGCCATTTAAATTTAAGAAGACCAAGCAATGATGCAATTTGGCAGCTGACACAAGTTCTGTGGTAGCTCTGTGGCCTTTCCCTCCCTGTTTTTGTTCACTTCCATCTTGGGAGGTAGTGGCCCTTTCAACCTTGAACAGACTGGAATTGTTAACCTTAGGTACAGCATCCTGCTGTACCTTCCTTTCAGGGAGTACATGTCAAAGTAAAGGCATTCATATCAAAATAATGCTTCCAGTTGTTTTTGACCCTCAGCCAAGCAATATGTCCATGTCTTTATCCTGCTTGAAACTGCTTGTAGATTCAAAGAAGGGGTGCTAGATTGTGTTGCCAGAAAAACACTTTTATAGGTCGGTCAAGCAAATAAAACCTGAAGTGACAAGCACTCATGCTGTTATGGTCCTGGATAAACCACTCCTTCTGTTAATGCTCACTAGGTCATGAGCATGATTTATGAATTAAGCATCTTTCCGATACCTTGGCTGACAAGCATCTGCCAGCTTCTGGTAAGTACCATATCAGATACGAGCTGGCTAATTTAACTCTTCCTTTCTTTTAAATATTTCTTATGCTATTCTTACAAGAACTTCAGATGGAACATTTTTCCTGTATGCCAAACACTTGAAAACCATACAATGACTGTGCTAAGCCCTGTGCTAGCCCTTGCTTAGAGAACCTGGGTGTTAGCAGGGTCAGCACTGATGGCACAGTCTAAATGAGTGCCCATTGCCTGTGTTTGTGAGACCTCTTTTTCATGGTTGCTCTTGTCTCCTTCCCCCAGCTCAGCTTAATGATACAATGCTAAACTTACCAAAGGTGAGACTGCTGACTGGGAAACTGCCTAGGTACTTTCTTCCTGCTTGGGAATTTCAGAATCTTGGCTATTAATATCTTCCAGCCTTCATTTCAGTGAAATCTATGCCTGTTATTTTTACACATGGCTATTTCTAATGTGCAAGTTCTTCAGATATCCACCTTGGGGTGAGTGGTGGATAGATTAGCATGTCATTCCTGGAGTTGAGCAAGATCATACGTTCTCACACTGCCACAAGGAAGGCAACGAAGAACTGGAATGAAACATCTCCATCTTGCCTAGTGTCTTCAAAGCCCATTTTTAATAGTAATTGTGAGCATTCTTTTTCAATTCTGAGTTGCTGCTTCCCTCAGAATACAGTCTGGTGCCTAGCAGGAGCTGTCTGGGGCACTTGATAATATGCTCCCTACAATTGCAGTTAATGGTATTTCAAAGTCATGAAATGCTAGAACAGACAACGGTTCTTGAGAGGTTTTTAGCTAGTATTAAATTAAATATTTTCTTTGACCCCATCCAACAAGTTTCAGTGTCCTTCTATTAAGAGATAGTGCCCCTGAAGTTTCCAGTTCTATCATCTGGTAAAGCCAATCCTATGGACTGAATCTTTGGCATAGTATCTACTTGCTGCTCCTGCCTTAGGAAAACAACCCCACAGAACTGGCCCAGTGGATAAGGGTAGCTGTGACTGCCTCTGTGTAACATGGTGTGAATCCTTCTTGTCTAAAAGAAACAGTGCTGAGATTAAATCCCTGCCAGTCTCCAATATTCAACTCTTGGGCAAGGTTTGGAGTATGAGTTGGCATCTCAGGTCCAAAAGCTTTTCAGCAAGAGGTGGACTGTCTAGATCTCTTACAATTTGGCATCAGACCTGGCTATGGGACAGAGAATGTTTTAGTTATCATGGTAGACAATCAGCAGTAGAAAATGGGTAGCAGCAGCCAACCATACTGGTTTTGCTGAACATCTGGAACCAACCACGGTCCATAGTATACTTCTGAGGCAGCACTTTAGGATGGGACCTGGAGGTACATACTACACTGCGTCCAGTCCTCCTTGGAAGGGTGATTTGGGAAGGTAGTGCTCCTACACAATATATTGGTCATTAGCCTGTGATGTTCTTCAAAGTTCCATCTTATCTCCCAGGCTATGAACACATATCTGAAAATGCTGGGAGAGGTTGTTCAGAGTTTGGGGGATTAGTGCCTTCTCGGTGACAGTTCCCATACTCTGAAACTTCTTTCAGAGGGAGGCTGGGTTAGCTTCCTTCCTATTATCTTTCTTCCGTTAGTCAAAGTTAGGCAGAACTTTGGCATATAAGCCAATCTGCTGCTGGAGGAAGGTTGGGTGCTGTTTATTTCTTTTATGTTTATTTTTAATGTATTTGCTTTTATATTTTAATGGCGCTTTTGCTTTCATTTCAATTTTATTATCATTGACTCCATTGACACCTTGAGTGCCATTTTCAGTACACAGTTGGGATATAAATTTAACACATTAAAAATATGAATGTACCACTGTCAGCTAAAGACTTGTTATTTTAGCATCTTGAAGTCATGCTAACTGGTTTCAGGCAACATGACAACCCTCCATGGCTTATAAGTCTTATAAGCCATGGTGGGTGATAAGGCTTATATTGGTGGTCTTATAAGGCTTATAATCTCATCTGAACCCAACACTGTTTCCATAGGGTGGTTTATAACGCATCCTCAGATGACTTATGGATCTCCCCAGTTATCTATGGCTTGTTGTAGGGTTTAATAACTCACCATGGCTTAACTTGCTGTCCAAACCCAAATGGCACACTAAGTCATGGTTGAGCCAAAAAATTAAGAGTCTCTTGGTTGTTGCCATTCCGACCAAGGGGCTCCAGTGATGACAGCCAGCAAAGCAAACCATCTGGCTGTCCCTCCAGAATCAGTAGGAGTCCATGGGAGGGCCCCAGCAGTGCCGCCTCCCAAGGTCCCCAGCAGGGTTTGGGGAAGCAACATGGTGTGGAAGAACCAGCCTCTCAGTCCCACTTCCTTGTGCGGCAGTGAAGCTGAGTGGCTGCAATCTGCCCACAGCTGCTACTGCAGCCATGGTGGCAGGGGAGGATGAGAGCAGCTCAGCACCCCCAGCCCTGTTCCCTTTCATCCCCAGCAGTGAAAGCAGGAAACAGAGCGGGAGGCATCCCTTGCCATCACCTGCTCTGCCTGTTCTTTTCCAAGGAGGATGCACATATGGCTGATGGTGCCAGCACCTGTCCTGCAACTCCTTCCCAAGTTCCAGTTGGGATTTAGCACAAAGCGGCAGCAGACACCAGCTCATCTTCCTGTCCCTGGGTGGTATGGTACCCATGGGCACTGAGCCATCTGAGAACAGAGAGGTAGGGAACAGCCGGCATGGACAGTGTGGCCTCCTCCCACAGAAGGTCCACTCCATCTCTCCACACCAGCAGGGGAGAGGCCTGGATGGCCCCTGTGCTGCTCAGCCACGGTATGCCACAGCTGTGCAGGACAGAGGCTGCCTGTGCCCCTTCCCCTGGGGCAGCCTCCACCCTGCTCAGCTGTTGTGTGCCTGCTTTGGACTTTCAAGCCCAGTATGAGGTGACCCTTCCTTTCTTGCCCCCTGCTCCAGGTTACCTGCCCAGGGCTTCTGCCAATGCCAGGAGAGCAGGATTACCTGGCAAGTGGGTGTAGGTGGAGGATACAACCCCCCACTGTGACTGATCATCCGGCATGTGTTGTGTGAATCTGCCTACTGGTTTCTTGTGGCATAAAGAATTTGTAAAGGCATGATCTTGGGTGTCAGGTTATCATTTTTTTTATTTCTGTACCTCTCTGGGCAGCAAAACATTTTTTTTTCCCAAATGGAGTGTGCTGCGAAATTATGGCCACTTGAGCACCTATTAGATGTCTCAAAGATGACATTTTACTGTTTACTTTAAAAAAAGGATGTTGAGGTAGGATACCCCTTATGGGTCTATAAACGGAGTGCTCACAAATAAGGCAAATTCAGTTTGTTTTAATTGGCACTTTTAGCTTATTAAACAAATACTGATTGATACCTCTTAATCCAATTGAACATTTTAATTCCCAAATGTTAAGCCAGATGAGCAAGAGGTTAGTTTCTTTGTATGCTGGAATGCTTTGACAGAAATTTTGTTAAACAAAAGGTATAAGTCAATCCAGAGTAGCCCATTTACACTAATTGAAGAAGGTGGAAGTGATTGTGTGTTAAATCATTCACATTTGCCTCCCTGCACAGAGGTACTTCAAACACTTCATTATGCCTTTCTCACTACCTAGTAAGCATTCATCTAGCTCTATCCCATCCACAAGAGTGTGGGATGCCGCATTTGTACCCATGGATGCATACAATATGAGGGCGAGTTTACTGTGCTAGGTGCAAGCAATTCTGAAATCCACAACTGTGTTTGTAACTTGTGCAGCTAAAGGAAAGTGACATCTTATATGTATACACAATTCACACAGGGAGAGACGACATGTTGGACATGGAGATTGATGCATATATCCACTGTGTCAGTGCCTTCATCAAACTGGCCCAGAGCGAGTACCAGCTTTTGACAGAAATCATCCCAGAACACCACCAGAAGAAGACATTTGACTCCCTCATTCAGGTGTTTTAAAAATTTAACATGAACTCTTCCTTTGGCTGTAGCGTAAAATCCATGTTCTAAAGCATCTAATCCATCAAAATTCCATTTTACTGTAGGAGTCTTTAGATAATCTGATGATAGAGGGTGACAACATTGTCTCTGCAGCCCGGAAAGCCATCATGCGTCATGATTATTCAGCTGTGCTAACCATCTTCCCCATCCTGAGGCACTTGAAGCAGACAAAACCAGAATTTGATCAAGTTTTGCAGGTAAGTGGTCAGTGATATAACTCGGTCTTACAAAACTTCACCATGCACGAATAGGTGCAGAATCCCTTGTTCATGGGAAAAACAAGGCCTCAGAGCAGGTTTGTATAGCAGTTGGGAATTGTGTTAGGGTGAAGGCCATTTAATGTCACATATTGTTGTCATTGTTTGTCGCGAAGTCGTGTCCGACCCATCGCGACCCCATGGACAACATTCCTCCAGGCCTTCCTGTCCTCCACCACCCCCTGGAGTCCACTCAAGCTCACACCAGCTGCTTCAGTGACTCCATCTAGCCACCTCATCCTCTGCCGTTCCCTTCTTCTTTTGCCATCAATTGTTCCCAGCATTAGGCTCTTCTCCACGGAGTCCTTCCTTCTCATTAGGTGGCCAAAGTATTTGAGTTTAATCTTCAGTATCTGGCCTTCTAAAGAGCAGTCAGGGTTGATCTCCTCTAGGACTGACCGGTTTGATTACCTTGCAGTCCAAGGGACTCGCAGGAGTCTCCTCCAGCACCGCAATTCAAAGGCCTCAATCCTTTTGCGCTCAGCCTTCCTTATGGTCCAGCTTTCACAACCATACATTGCAACTGGGAAAACCATAGCCTTGACGATACTCACTTTTGTCGGCAGGGTGATGTCTCTGCTTTTTAGTATGCTCTCTAAATTTGCCATAGCTTTCCTCCCAAGGAGCAAGCGTCTTTTAATTTCTTGGCTGCAGTCCCCATCTGTAGTGATCTTGGATCCCAGGAAAATAGATTCTGTCACTGCCTCCATGTCTTCCCCATGTATTTGCCAGGAAGTGAGAGGACCGGATGCCATGATCTTAGTTTTCTTAATGTTAAGTTTCAAGCCAACTTAGTTCCTCTTCACTGTCTGCCATTAGAGTGGTATCATCTGCATATCTGAGGTTGTTGATATTTCTCCTAACAATCTTAGTTCCAACTTGTGATTCATCTAGCCCAGCCTTTTGCATGATGTGCTCTGCATATAAGTTAATTAGGCAGGGCGATGGTATACAGCCTTGCTGAACTCCTTTCCCAATTTTGAACCAATCAGTAGTTCCATGTCCAGTTGTCACTGTTGCTTCTTGACCCACATAAAGGTTTCTCAAGAGACAAATAAGATGGTCTGGTACTCCCATCTCTTTAAGAACTTGCCACAATTTGTTGTGATCCACACAATCAAAGGCTTTAGCATAGTCAATGAAGCAGAAGTAGATGTTTTTCTGGAACTCCCTAGCTTTCTCCATGATCCAACCTATGTTGGCAATTTGATCTCTAGTTCCTCTCCCTCTTCGAAATCCTGCCTGTACTTCTGGTAGTTCTTGGTCCACATACTGCTGGAGCCTAGCTTGTAGGATTTTGAGCATAATTTTGCTAGCATGTGAAATGAGTGCAGTGGTGCGGTAGTTCGAACATTCTTTGGCATTGCCCTTCTTTAGGATGGGAATGTAAACTAACCTTTCCCGATCCTGTGGCCACTGCTGAGTTTTCCAAATTTGCTGGCATATTGAGTGTAGCACTATAAATGCATCGTCTTTTAGGATTTTGAATAGCTCAGCTGGAAAACTGTCACCTCCACTAGCTTTGTTGTTGCTCAGACTTCCTAAGGCCCATTTGACTTCACATTCCAGGATGTCTGGCTCGAGGTCAGTGATCACCCCATTGTGGTTATCAGGGACATTAAGCTCTTTCTTGTGTAGTTCTTCTGTGTAATCTTGCCACCTCTTCTTAATCTCTTCTGCCTCTGTTAGGTCCCTGCCATTTTGGTCCTTTATCATGCCCATCTTTGCATGAAATGTTCCCTTCATATCTCCAATTTTCTTGAAGAGATTTCTGGTCCTCCCTATTCTAATATTTTCTTCTATTTCTTTGCACTGTTCATTTAAGAAGGCATTCTTATCTCTTCTAGCTATTCTCTGGAATTCTGCATTCAGTTGGGTGTATCTTTCCCTTTCTCCCTAGCCTTTCGCTTCCCTTCTTTCCTCAGCTATTTGTAAAGCTTCCTCAGGCAGCCATTTTGCTTTCTTGCATTTCTTTTTCTTTGGAATGGTTTTAGTTGCTGCCTCTTGTACAATGTTGCGAACTTCTGTCCATAGTTCTTCAGGCACTCTGTTTATCAGATCTACTTCCTTAAATCTATTTGTCACCTCTACCATATATTCATCAGGAATATGATTTAGGTCATACCTGAGTAGCCTAGTGCTTTTCCCTACTTTCTTCAATTTAAGCCTAAATTTTGCAACCAGAAGCTCATGATCTGAGCCAGTCAGCTCCTGGTCTAGTTTTTACTGACTGTATAGAGCTTCTCCATCTTTGGCTGCAGAGCACATAGTCAATCTGATTTCTGTGTTGACCATCTGGTGATGTCCATGTGTAGAGTCGCCTTTTGGGTTGTTGAAAAAGAGTGTTTGCTATGACCATTGTATTCTCTTGACAAAATTCTACCAGCCTGTGTCCTGCTTCATTTTGTACTCCAAGGCTTACATTAAGACACCAGGATATTAAAACATTAGAACACTAAAACATTAAAATCAGCATAAAACAGATTCCATGTACCAACCTGGTGTCTTGATGTGCTACATAAACAGAGGGCCAGGAGAGGTACTTGCATAGCAGAATTACATTAGTCTGTGGCTTATTTAGACTGACCTAATGCACAGATGAAAACTAGGGAAAGGTTGCCTCTGAAGATCTTCCCAGACAGGATTCATAAGTGGGAAATCATTTTCCAGGACTTGCTGATGCCAGATAGAATGGTGATTTATAAGTATTGCAGCCCACAAGGGTTGCAAATTTAGGTGCACTGGTGGTATGTTCCCTTCTGTACAGGTGTGCGCAGATGTACTTTCCACCCAGTTTTCATACTCATTGTACAGCAAATTGCAGTACTCAGTATAATTACCAAATTACAAAGGCAGGAATGACAGCAGCACAATTGAGGGTTTATTTCATACATAATTTGTGCATGGTCAATTAGAAATAGACAAAAACCAGAATGGCTGCTTAAGTTGATTTTTCCCTGACCAGAAGTGGGAAGGCTCTTGAGTCTCAGGTTACCAAACTAGTGGTGCTGGACTGGGGAGTCCAAATAGTATAATGGGAAATGCATTAATGCGGTCATGCTAACAGGTTAGGCAGGGATTTTAGCGCCCAGCAATGGAAGCTGATATTTCAAGCAGCCAGAAAACATGGATAATGTCCTTCCAAATGACTGGACATTTTCTAGACCAGCTAGAGAAGCAGCAGTCCCTGAAGTCTGGCAATTGTCATTGCACACAAGTTCTGTTACGACTGGAGATGGACAGCTAGGCTGGATCTTACATCCTGGCATTCCCAAGACTTTGTTTGCTGTGTGTTTTAAAACAGTTTTATAGCATCCAGTTAAATTTTGGATGTGGAGCTTAAGATCCCCTTGGACAGTGAGGATCTTAATCAGTGAGTTTTGTTGACTCTGCCAAGAGTACATTCTGTGTTCGAGGTGTGGATCACTGTGTTTTACCTGGTGCTTGCAAAGCTTCTGTGGGTTTCCCCAGCACCAACAGAATTGTGAGTGATTTTCTGTATCCTCACTGGATGATGATAGTAGCTCCCCCAGTCTGCTTCTCTCCCTTTCTCCCTCTCTGGGTTGTCTCACGGCCTGTGCTGTGCTGTGTATTTCAGGGCACTGCAGCCAGCACTAAGAACAAACTGCCAAGCCTCATAACATCAATGGAGACCACAGGAGCCAAGGCTCTGGAAGATTTTGCAGACAATATAAAGGTAACTGCCTGTCCCTCTGTTGGTTATCTTTCTTATCACCCAGAGTAGTTCAGGAGACCTGTGCAAATGTTCCATTAATTTACTTTTTAGGCGTGATGGAAGATCCTATAAGATGTTACAGGTAGAAGAAAGGAAAAGCTGCTTGAGTTTAGAACATGTGTTGCTAACCCTGTTGCTGTTGTTATTAATATAATAAGTCATGTAATAAAATACCATATACAATTAATTTCAATTGCATTTATATCCTGTCCCTTTTCTTCTTGAGAGGAATTCAAGGTGACTTATGTAGCTCTGTTTTATCCTTACAACGGCACCTGTGTAAGATAGGTGAGCCTGAGAGTGAGTAACTGGCCCAAGGTCACTCAGCCATGTGGGATTAGAACCTGGATCTCCCAGGTCCCCAGTCCAGTGCCGTAACCACTCCACCACACCAGTTGATCTGATAATGTGCCTCAGCACCCAATATGGCCACCCACGTAAGAGAGTCCACAGAATGTCTTGTCGATGTTCAAAAGTCATTTGGCTGAGAAAGAGCACTGATAATAGATGGACCAAATACAATGGCAATTAAGACTGTTTAAAATCAGTTTTTGTCCAGCAATCTTTTGGGAGTCACCAGTAGGTGGTGCCTTTGACCTCCAGCGTTGTAATAGATGTGCTGTTTGGAACACATAATTGCATAACAAGATGAGGATAGTTTTATGCTGCTTGCATTGTTAGCCATTCATCATTTTTTTCTCCCTAGAACAATCCTGACAAAGAGTACAATATGCCAAAAGATGGGACAGTTCATGAGCTCACCAGCAATGTATGTAAAGCCAATGCAGAATGTGCTTGGTAAAATCAAACCAATGACTTCACCCACCTTTTGTTTTTCTTTATCTTACGGAGATTTCAGAGTTAGCCCTACAAGGATAGTTGTTCCTGCTGCTCTGGACACTCTTGGCCAGGAGCAAAGCCAAAATAGGGAGTTGCCTCATTCCTTCTCTTTCTTCCTTTCTCTTTTCTCCCCCTATGACCACTTCTAGGATGTACATATGGGTATCTGGCCAGCTTGCAGAGATTGCTGTAACTAGACATCACAGTCAGTTTTCTTTCAGTTTCAGCCGTGCTTCTCAAAAACCTAGCCTGTGTATATGCTTGCACCGTGGAATGCTCTTCAGGCATGGAAGGGAATAAAAGTACCCAACATCAACTTGTTTTGATTGGCAGGCAGTATGGAGCCATACTGGGCTGTTATAAATTGGACTGGGCTGTTATGAATGCTAAGAGCCCCTTCATTCAGCCTTTGATTCCTTTGCTTGCTCATCATAGTGGCACCTTCAGTTTGCCCTGCTTCAGATAAAGATAGCAGTCTTGTAGATCAAACTCCCAGCTCCAGCAAATGTCCTTGCAAGGGATGGCTAGAGAAGACATCCTTCAGGCCCAGATTTGGGTCTCACCTTTGTGCAGTAACCCTCCTTTCCAGTTGCTTTTCCTGTTGCCTCATGTTACCAGGCCTTCATCAGAGAAGGTGTGTGTCAATGTAAAAATTCAGAAGCTTTCAGAAAGGGATGCAGCTGCTTTATTGCCGTATGCTTCTGGGGCAAAACTAGAGCAGCAGGAAAGGAAACTAAGGAGTTGTCCCTGAGCAGCAGAGCTCATATTTGATCTGCACATGGTTGACTGACCTGTTGTCTGACTATAAACAAATCCTGTAACTTCAGTTGCCTGCCACCAAAAAAGCCTGCATCATATCAAGTGCAGAATGTGTGGCATTCATGATTAGACTCAGAAAGAGCTGTAGTTTAGGTAATACCGAGGCCTCATATTAGATTGTTTCCCAGTATAACCTTTCATAGCAATCTTGTGAAGAGTCGCTGGACTATCTAAAAAAAGGTATGGGGAGGATAACCAATAAATTGCTTTTTGAAATTCTCCCTTCTCTTTTTAGGCCATTCTTTTTCTGCAGCAGTTGCTGGATTTTCAGGAAACTGCAGGTGCCATGCTGGCGTCCCAAGGTACTTGTAGAGGGCTCTTTCAGTAACAGAACACTTTCCTGATACATGCGCCTTGCCTGCTTTGCAGTAAAACCTCCTTAACAAGGGTGTTGTTCATTCATGGCACATGGCCACAGCTGTCCAGCTTGATCCGGCATAGCCAAAAATACAGCCCTCTAAGGAGTTGTAAGAGTCCAGAGGGATGCCTTTGGTTTTCGTATCAGCCTGTAAATATGCTGCTGGATCGCTGATACTTTTTGAAATAGCCTTTCATCTCCAAAGACATTTCACTCAGAAGACAGCTCCCAAGGGATTATCCCCATGTTGGTTGTTAACTGATTTCAGTACCCAATAACAATAGTGATTTGTTATTAGTACTGATACGAATTAGTACTGATTGGATTCAAGGCCAGTTTCTTTTGGTAGGAGAGAGTGTAAACAAACAAAATCCAGCAAAATTCTTTGCTTCTGATAGAATGAGGAGTAAATGTTTGGCTGTATGTCTGTCGCTGGCCTGTGTACTTCAGCTTTCATATCACCGGCTGAAGGTTCTGTATGTAATACAGCTGTTGAAAATAATTTAGCGATTGGACTTTTGATCCAATAATGTTTATATTCCCAGGCCTGGCTAAGGGAGGAGTGACATAGCAATGTGAAGCAGTATTTCAAAAAGAACTAACACATTGTTTGAGAGGATAGTCTTTGAAGGGAGCACCAGTTTGTCTGAGCCCATGCTAAGAAGGTTTAACTGTCCAAACTGCATCTTGCATGTGCTTCCCTTGCCTGTCCTTAACCCCTGCCTGAACAGTACTCAAAACATGACCCATATCTGTGACTGACGTGTCAGCATCCCTTCTTCACCCCTCTTTACCTGGTAAAATTGGTTATGGGCAAAGACAGTGATGGAGCAGACTCTCATTGGCCAAAGGAGTGGCAGCTCATGCCAGTGAAGATAGTAAAGAAGCTATCTGGTGCTGGCATTTCAGTTGTATGTCTTTCGAATACCCAAATGTTGAAGCATTTGGGACTGCAGCAGTCACACCCAAATGCTGGCCAACAATTTAACATTCAGGCCACCGTCCTTCTATCCACTTACCTGGGTGCAAACTGCACTGAGCTCAGTGGAACGTGCTTCTGAATAGAAACACGTAAAATTGCAGTACTTAAAAAGGAGTAGCTCCTGTCTGCTGAACCCATCATGTTCTGTGTTGGTATCTTCTGCTTTGTTCTTGAAGGTTGTCTCTAACCTGTCTTTTTGCACTTTGCATTTCTTTCTTTCTCTCTTTTTCTTTCTACCTTTTTATCTCAACTCTGCCTTAAATTTTATAGTTCTTGGGGACACATACAATATTCCTTTAGATCCCAGAGGTAAGCAGCAGTAATACTTGTACTACCCACATGCATAGCTAATGCACCTCTCTTTTTTGCATCTGGTTACATAGTTGCTTGTATTTAACTGTACTCAGGAAAAGCCTGTCTGTTTCAATTATATGAAATTCTGAATGCAGAGTATCAATGATGACTGGATTCTTCCTATACCTTTAACTGCTCTGTGAATGTAAATGCACATTCCTATGGAGGTTTCACATCTGTAAAGCAGCAGCTCTTTCTTGAGTTTTTGAAGAAGATGGTAATAGACCACTCATGCTTGATCTTAATAATTGCATCTCTTAATGTAGTGTGCTCCAGAGTGCTTCTTTCGGGCAAACCACATATTACAGACATTCCTATAAAGATGCTCCAAGAGCCACTTTTTTCCCCTAAGAAAAGCAACAGTGATTTTTGAACAGGAAACAAGGGAAGTTGCCACCATTGTTCTGCTCCAAATTGCACACCCTCCATATGCTTTCCTCCCCACAGGTTTCTAGTTATGTGTCTTCTTTTGCAAACACACCACTGAAACCTCACAAGATGAGGCGAGCTAAGTGCGGTGTAATACCCATGCATGCTTGAATCAGTCAGCACATGCTCCGCTCTAGTTGTAACTGCAGGCAAGACAACTGGAAACAACCATTGTCAAGAATCTATAGTTCGAAACTCTATTTTAATTGTGTTGTAGTGCTCGGAAAAGCAGAACTCCCTCTGTATTCCATGAGTTAAAGAGTTCTGCTCTCTAGTCCCACCCCAGCCAGGACGCGTTTCCAGGGCACTGTGACATAATGGATACTGAGTTGGTTGTGTGCAGGCATGAAGCATGTGACTAGTTCCCAAGGGCTTCTGTGTCAAATTGCACCTGCTGGCTTAGTTTTAAAGATAAAAAAAACCACTTTGGACCAGGAATTGGTGGTTCCCTGTGAGAGACATTTTGTAGCCGAACAGGCTTAGTTGGTATCACCTGCCAGGACAGGTACTGGCTTTCATACAGGTTAACCCTTGTCCTGTTCATGAGATGGAAACCCGAGAATTCCCTTCCTACCCTGGAAGGCATCTCACTAAAGTCAGTTGAGTGGTTGCATTAATGTTGAAGTAACAGCACAGCTAATTTGAGTAGTTCTCAAAAAGGATATTTTGTTCTTATCCTAATGAGAATATCTGATACTGAAACAGGTTTGGGAGGGAGGTGTTAATTACTTTCTGTGAAACAATAGTCAGCAGGTCTGAACTTAGTAAGGTTGCTGTACAGCAGTTCATAATGGTAAGATAGTCCTACTCAGTCAGGAGACAAAGGTGCAAACTGAACCTAATTCTGCTGACCTTTGTGCAAAGCGATTAGAGAAAACTCTAAAGCAGCTTTTCCCAACATTGGATCTTCAGTGTTGGACTGCAACTCTCTTCCTCCTCAGCCCAAAACATCTGTGGATCTTTAGTTGGGGAAGGCTGCTCTAGAATGAAACCAAAATGGTGGTTTGCTCTCATTTAAATCGAAGATCAAATATTTTAGCTGACCTTATAGAAAAAGAATGTTGCTGATAAGAAGATAAACTCACCACATGTAGAGCACACAAGAGCAAATGGTAACTGATTTCATCTTGGCTTCTTTTCAGAGACCAGTTCTTCAGCTAGTAGCTACAGTTCTGAATTCAGTAGGCGGCTACTCAGCACTTACATCTGTGAGTAACTCTTCACCAAGTTTACTACCTATTTCCCTCTGATAGGCTGCAGTTATTTGCACATTCATCTGTGAGTAAGCCCACTGGATACAGTGAGGTTTACTTCTCAGTATTTATGTATAGGATTGTGGTCATAATTACTCATTCTGTTGAAGAGCCCCAGGAGTAGGAAAGTGTTTAATTTTACTAGAATGTGTTGCAGGGAATGCTCAATGAAAACTAGTTTAGATAAATTACCCAGAGTTTACCCTAAATTTAGGGACTGGGTAACAGCTGTAATCTTAGAATATAACTAGAGCCTTTATAGTATGTTTTTCTATCATATCTTTTGCTAAACAACATAAAACAAAGTGAGCACATCCAGGCTTCAATTTATCCACTATATAACTCTAGGTAGATGGCAAACACAGTATTTTATGGGTTACCAGTGCTTAAAAACTGACAGTTCATCTCTTTCATTAAGTGTGGATTCACTCCCTGTATCAAGGAAAAGAAAATGTAAGAGATGGCATTGTAAAACAGTTTTAAATGAGAGTTTATGTAAATTAAATGTTAACATCATCCCACGGCTGAGAAACTGTTCTGTAATAGCATCTTCACTGACATGTTGGGTACTTTCAGAGAGGGTTTTATTGTGCAAGTACCCTGTATCATTTGAGGAATTTACAAGAAATCCACATGACTTTACCTTCCACTTGTAAGCCTCCCATGTTTTTCTTCCTCTTCTTTCATCTTTTTTTTCCTGTCCAAAACAGATAGGGAAGAAATAGAACCAACTTAAAAGTACTCTTTTTAATATGCAAATGAATTAAAATTTAGCCAACCAATTATGTGACTGTCATTAGATAAACTATATATAGCTTTAATATCTCTGTCAAACCTGAGATCTTTATGATAGTCGCTTACCTCCTGCTCATGCATTCTTTCTATTAAGGCAAAGTTTTGGGCAACTTACAACTAAACCTTCTCAGTAAATCCAAGGTTTATGAGGACCCAGCTTTAAGTGCCATCTTCCTGCATAACAACTACAATTACATTCTCAAGTCCCTTGAAAAGTAAGTACGCAAATGACATGCATGTTCAGGGTGCATGCTGGGAGTCTGGAATTTCTACCAAGTCACAAGCTGTGACTTTTGCTCACCAGTTTCTCAGCTCTCCTGTAAAGGACATTGTATCCTCCATTTTATGCACTTTCCTCATGCCTTGCTCCCCTTCAGAAAGAGCCTTTTGAAGTCTGTCATTCCTACTATAAACATTGCTTTACAAAAGGCAATGGAAAATAAAAGCAGCCAAGAGGGCTCCAGTTGCATCAGGCTCTTGTATCTTGTCGGCAGAAAGGCTCTTGCTTTGGAGAGCACTTGCCAATAAATCTAGAGATTCATGTTCTCCTGATTGCTTTGTGCATTCCAGGGCCAGTTCCTCACAAACTCAGGAAAATAGCAATAAAGTGTTGGCTTTGTAGTCTTACATTTCTGTAGGTGGCCTAGCCAAATATTTATACTTGAACTTTTCAACCTGACTGGGCCATACAGTAATGTATTGTGGATGGTCAGCCATTATATGCCACAAGAGGCTAAAGCACGCTACCATGTGGAAATGGATGAATACCACTCTGCTTGAAAGGCCCTCCAGTGCCCCCTTCTGACTGTGGTAGCAGGGCTTTCCGGACCTGCAGTCTGGCAGGCGGCTGTGCCAGGGTGCCCATGCTCCTAAGCCTCAGAGCCCTGCACTCAAACCTTTACATGTGGATCCGCAACCAGCTGGTTCTGCTTCCCCAGCAACTGCCCTTTGCTTTCAGCACCTCTCTGCCTGCAGACATCAATTACTCTTGTTGCTCTTGGCTCTCCTTTGCCTCAAAATGGCCACTGACGGCATCTTTTCCCACTGCCTCAAATGAACGCACGTAGCTGTTTCTTTCTCACCCATCTCTTGCTAGCATCCCGGAGTGTTTTTTATCCCAGTGTGTCTGGGGGATGAAGAGAGGAGTTTCTTGGGAGTCTAGTCTACAAGCATGCCTTCACTGACTGTTAACAATTTGTCATTCTTTTTATACCCTCCTAGAAGTCACAGCTTCACAGTTTTGCATCTAAGTTATTCACAGTATTTACAGATTAAAACATTCTCCGGTTCATCCCTATGTAAGCAAACTCATCCATCAAAGAAAATGCAGGAAAATTTATCCCATTTGCTATTCCATCTTCACTATTAATGCAGAAGGGAAACAGGCTGTGTCTTGGGTTGTAGCTTGGTCAGTTTGATCCTGATCAGAAAGAGGCTACTACTGAAACAGTGGCTGATAGTGAATGGTACCCCATATTTTTATTTGCTTGAGTTTAATTGTTTTTTGAGATAAAAGGCCACAAATAGCAACTGGATTTTTTTTCTATTGAGTTCTTTTGCAATGCTGCAGAGTATGGGGAAGGCAAAGACTTCCCAGACCTTGGACTGACTTTGGAAAGTCTCAAAAAGGAATGAGACCTTGGGGCTTTTTGACTGGGTAAAAAAAAATAATAATTCTACACTCACAAGTTAACTATGGGTTGAGTGTGGACTGTTGTTGAATCATAACTTAGTGTGTTGTCAGAACTCAGATGTGTTAACATGTCATCGTTTGTTAACCCATGAAGAGAACACATGATTTGTTCTTGGGTTGTGTACTGTGGGTTGTTCACCATAGTTTGTTATCTTGGCTGAGTTAAAGATCATGACACTTCAATAATGCAGGATTTAATGGCAACCCACACTGAACCCCTACTGAATGGTTGGGTGTGGGTTATTATGTTGTCTGAAGTCACTTACACTAAAGTCAGTGTGAGGTCTGAAAGCTGCCACACTTTGCTTCAGGCTTATAGGATGGAGAACAGCCCCCATGACCTTGTGCTAAGCTTTGGAGAGACTTAGAAAAGTAGCGGGACACATGGTCGCTCCGTAGGCCCTTTTGCTGCTCAGAAGGGCAGAGAATACCCACAGCAGGAGAAGGCACTTGGAACTTTCGTCATCAAGAGCACTTGCTGATGGGAATGCCTGGAGCACCTGTGAAGCTTTGCATAATGTCAGGCCAAGAACCATGCTCCCCTTCCCCCTGGGGCAAGATCGGCAGCAAGCAGAAAGGCCGTCTGTCTCCCAAGCCCTGCCCCAAAAGACCATGCTGCTGCTTGGAACAACTCGAAACCGCATCCTGCTCATGAAGCAGCAAGGGGAACCCGCTGCTGCTTCAGGAACTTGCTTTTCAAACTGCACGCCTGCTCCTCTTTCCTCTTAGGTCTGAATTAATACAGTTGGTGGCTGTGACACAGAAGACCGCAGAAAGATCATACAGGGAACACATCGAGCAGCAGATCCTAACGTATCAGCGCAGGTCAGAAGAACCCTCCTGCCCACCTTTTGATTGCACCCACACTCCTGCCCTCATGGCCGTGTGAAAGGGATTTACAGCAGCCATGAATAAAAGCAGGCAAAGTCAACTTCCCTTGCTTGAAAATGTTCTTCTAGCAAAATTATTGACTCGGGGTACAGTCCTATCCAGCTGATCCTGTGCACCGCCCAACTCAGTGGCTCATGGTCTTTCAGTGCTGAGTCACAGGAGCGATAGAGGTGACATTTACCTCTGCTGCTCCTCCCACTCTGCATTTTCACAAGATGGCCATTTTGGAGTGGAGGGAAGCAGGCTGGGGTGGCTTCATGGCAGCTCCCATCCTGGCCCCTTCTCCCTTCCTATTCCCTCTCTGGAGACACTTTCCTTGCCTCAGGGACCGGTCATCATGATTCTTTCTGCTCCAGCTGCAAGGGGGCAGTGGAATAGGGGCCAAAGCTCCAATTTGCATGTCCAGCCTCAGAGTTGGGAATCCAGACTATACTGCAGTCCCTCAGACAATTTCTAGAGGTGATAGGAGTGCTCTTTTGGTCACATAATAGTTCTGAATTGAAGCAGCAAATCTGTCCTTACAGCTTACATTCTGTAGGACATAGAGTGGATTTGCATGTCATACTAACACACAACCCCCTGGGCAATTTTATCCATGAACTGTATGAAATTTCTCCGTGCCTGACCGATGATCAAGCAGAACAGGATATTGTGTCACTCTTTGTCCCCCTCCCTTCCTTGTTTCTTCCCCCACAGTACTTCTGCAGTATCCCAGGGATGCTGCAGGTGCATGAGAAGAGCAGGATGACAGCAGCCAGGAACGACGACCTGCTCATGACATAAATCCATAGTAGGTCATTCAAACCCTACCGCAAGGGTTTGGATGACACAGTAACCCACAGCCATGCGGGTTATTGTGTCATCTGAAGCCAGTTAGTCTCTCCTTTCTAGTGTTCATTGTGATTGCTGCCTAAGATATTCACAAGGTATGCTGATGGAAAGGGAAGCTGATCCTAGATCTATTCCCCATAATGCTTAATTCAGGTGTGGTATGCATGTATGAGTAGATACAAAATGTCAGTTGAGAGGTGGCTAATATGGATATTCTAGAGGTGGGGAGCAGACATGAGACCTACATTCTGCATAATGAACAGATTTCAAAGACCAGCAAGTTCAGAGACGCAGACAGAAGCTAGCAATGCTTGAAGCAAAGCATAATTAGAGAGATACAGGCAGTCCCTGAATTATGGACAACACACTTATGAATAAACTGCCATAAAGCCTATTAATTTTGAAAAATTACTGTGGAAAATCATCATTACCATAGAGAGAGAGAGAGAGAAAGAGAAAGCAGAAGGAAAGAGAGGGAGGCCTCCAAAACATGCCTTCCTGCCCCAGCCATTCAGAGAGAGAAATCTCTCTGGCTTGTCCTTGCTGCAAAAAGGATGTGCTGGTAATTGTGGGCAGGGCGGGGGGAAGGCTAGAGATATTCATGGTTTTTCCAATTTCGGGGGTGTCCTGTTGCCCTAACCCCCACAAATGTGGAGGACTTACTATATATAATCCGACTTGCATACAAATTCAACTTACAGATGAATTTCCATTTTCTCAGGAACAGAACTCATTTGTAAACCAGGGACTGCCAGTATATTCCATTTGATTTCCCTGGTCTGATATTGGAACATACAGCATAAAGATTTCTCATTTGCATTTTTACTTTTGCATTTATTTGTTTAATCCTGATGAAGAGCCCATCCAGTTTGTTTACCCTTCTTTATGTCTATTTCAGCTGGCTAAAAGTAACAGATTACATCTCGGACAAAAACTTGCCTGTCTACCAACCTGTAGTCAAGGTCAGAAACACTTGCAATATAGTTTTATTTGTTGGAAAACAGGAAAATATATTCACATACACATATTAAAGCTCAGGATGAGGTCAAACTACATGTGACACAAAATGTGTGTAAGCATTTGAGGTGTGCATGTGTTCTTTAAATGTCAGTTAGGAGGGTCCAATAGCAGGAAAGTGTGGGGAGATGCATTGACTGTAATCTTTAATTGCTGCTCTTTTAAAAACAAATTCCTAAACATGTAATTTCATATTTTCTGTCAACATATAAGTTATCTTATAAGGGCAATGAACTCTGGAAAGTGAGTTTTAAATCTTTTTAATAATATTTCAAAAGCAGGAGTATTCTTTGACTGCTTGCTAATCAAGTGCATGTGTATAAAACCTATATAGGCTTCCCAGGAAGGTGAGGGCTCTGTTCTGAATTGGTCAAGAAGCAAATTGAACAGCTGGAATTATTCTGAGAATACAATAACCAGAAGATCTTCTTTTTCTTAATCCTCCACAGCTCAAAGACAAAGAGAGGCAGGTGATCAAGGAGCGCTTTAAGGTAACTGACGGTCGAGGACCAGGCAAATATCCCTATTCTTTACTTTGTGCCTTCTGTCTTTCTTTTTTGTTATTTGCCATTTATTGCTTGGCTTCAGATGTATGGTTAACATAATCTTCTCTGTGGGAAAGGGTTTTAATGATGGTCTGGAGGAGCTGTGTAAAATCCAGAAGGCTTGGGCTATCCCTGACACAGAACAGAGGGACAAAATCCGACAAGCCCAGAAAACCATTGTGCAAGAGGCCTACGCTGCCTTCCTAAGCAGGTATGTCTTGTCCTGCAAAGACTTCTTTATCCATTCAGATAGAGTTTGGGCAGCCAAACCCAGGTTTGAAAAGGGTCTTTCTGCACTCTTGTTTCCAAAGTTATCCCTATTGTCTGCATAACACACTAGCTGATTGATCCATCCAAGGACAAGAGTAACCAAGGAGCCAACTTTTTGGCCACAAGACATATATTCTATGGTTTCGCTTAGCTAGCCCAGTCTGACAGCATATGCTAATTGCCATGGTTCATTTTCTCTTTGGCCTTACTATATGACAGACTTTCAAATGGTCATTGAGAATGGATAGAGGTGATAACCAAACAAGCATGGATGATACTATGCAGATGGGACCTGCAACGGTGATTGAGTTATTCTGGAGGAACTGATGGGGGAGGGAAGAGTTCTTAAGCATTTGTTTCTATTTCTTGCAAATCCAAGAGTTTCCCAAGGATGCTGCCTTATATATGACTGGCATGCCTGTGACTGTATAAGGTTCAGCACTCCAAGGATTAAGGTGGCTCTTGTATAAATGCTGGTAATGCGGATGCTGCTCTGGCAGCTGGTGAAGAAGGGAAAGGCAGCTGCAGAATGACATCTTCAAGCTCATTACACAACACTTGCTTTGCTTTTGCCTTGGCAGATATGGAAATGTACCCTTTACCAAGAACCCTGAAAAATACATTAAGTACAGAGTGGAACAGGTGGGTGAGATGATTGAGAAGCTGTTCGACACATCAGCATGACCTGCCTGCCTGCATGTCGGTGCTTTCCTAGTCCGCTTTAACAGCTCACTGTTGAAATACATGGGCTATGCTTGTATTCATTACATTTATAAACTCAAAAGAACATAATTTATGGTTGGTCTGACTTCTTCCAAGATCATGGGTGACAGATGAAATCTTCCTTGTTGCGATGCACATGTGTTTGTGTGTGTTTCTGAAATAACATGTGGGAAATTCTTTCTGTGAAGGGTTAAATCCTTTTGAACACACAAACATCACATGTGTCAAAGGATACCTCACTATGCTTCTCTGGGGCTCTGTTTCTGACTCAGCATTGTTTTTAAAACTGTCCAGAGCATGTCAGCTTTTGGGCAGTATAGAAATGTAATAAATCCTGCATAAGCTTATCACCTACCCCACCCTTAGCTTTCATTTAAAAATACATTTATTGATTCTAAAACTTATAAAAACATACAACAGTAATGTATCCCACAATCCAGCATCTGATCAGTATTCTCTTCAGTATGTTACAACTAATAACTTCCTGATTTAAGAAATCGATCTCCTCATCCTGTTATTTTACTTTGAGTATCAAGTATTGTCAGAGATTTCAGTCTGTCCTTTATATTTATATGCGAACTTTCTAAAGCTGCTCTCCCATCTCACCTCCCCTTTTAAAAATCTAAGCACTGTTGAATGCGCTACTCAAATTAATAGTTCAAAAGCGGGGAGTTGAGCAAAAAAAGTTTCACTTGCCCCAGGCTTGCTTCCACGGTCCATTTGAAATAAAAGGAAGTGATGCTGCTGGATGTGTATGCAAACAGTGCACATTCCGGAAGGGAAAGAGGGGGGCGCAACGCCCATTCAGTCCTTTCTTCAAGGTAGCACTTGCAAAGCTTTTTCTTCATATCTCAAGCCGAGGAGGAGCAAGGAGCAGCCTTGTTTCAGCTGCCTGGAAGCAATTGCACGCATTGCAGATCCATTTCCGAACAGCCCTTTTATTTAAAGTGAGATCCTGGAGTTCATCTTCAAAGGCTACCATAAGCCCCCTCTGGGTATTTTTGTTTTCGCAAAGGAACCTGCACGTCTGCTTCTCCATTTTACTACTGAGCCAAAAGCACTGAAACATTTTCTGATATAAGGAGATTGAATGCTGTGTCCAAAAATTCTGAGTTAATAGGATGTCTGAAATCAACCCCCTTTCCTTGCCCTTTTTCCTGTAGACAGGAGAAGGTTGTGCGTTTGAGCCTGGCTTGGAATGTATGCAACCCCTTAGGTAAGCTGCCTTGGGTGCCTCACAGGAGGAAAAAAGGTGAGATATGAAAGCAATATAATGAGATTAGGGGCTCTTCAACATGTCTAATTCTTTGAAAAACGTTCCATGTAGACATGCATTAAGATGTATCCAGGGGTACATCCAGGGGTATTTTAACTGTTAATATTATTTATTTATTTTATTCTTTGGCCAGGTCGACTCAAATTATATTGTTTTTATATTGTGATTATTTATTTGTTGTTGTGAGCCGCCCTGAGGCTTTGGCGGATGGGGCGGCATAGAAACTTCCTAAATAAATAAAATAAAGTAAAATAAAATAAAATACCTGGAGAGCAGCAGCTCATATCAGAACCTGCTTTGGAATGGCTGACTGGGTAGTACACATATCCTTCCCCAACATGGTACCCTTCCACTGTCATGGTCTTCAACTCCTGTCTGATCTAGCTAGCGTGACTAATGGTCAGGAATGCTGGGAGCTGTAGCCAAAAACACCTGGAGGGACCACATTGGAAAAGGCAGGTATAGCTTTTCACCTCAAGTACAGCTCCATGGAGTGATTTATCAGTGGAAGATTCAAGAGTGTTTGCTTTCAAAGTCGCCTTTGCTATGCAGCCACTTACAATGTCTGGGGATTTAATATAACTGTTAAACGTAGGGTGTTTTAATATCCTTTATCGAAGGAACTAAAAGGTCAACAGGCATTTTCTGTAGATGCTGAGTGTTTTCATAGGAAATGATTTTTTAAATGGCAAGGTACAGGTATGGGACTGTATTGGATTGTCCTTTTAAAACTGATGGATTATAATGTTACTCTTCTTGCTGGGTGGGGGTGGAGTTTTCAGGCAATAGATTTCTCTGAATGCCACCAGAACTGGAGGGCTTAGCAATAGCCTAGTTTTCATACTGAAAGTTTAGAACAATTATTCAGACATGATCTTTGAAATCAACATTCAATTTGTGGGAAATCAAAAGGGGGAACCTTATCCTTATAGTATTCGTAAGAAGGTTATCCTTGGAGAAGTTTGCACATCATGACAAGATATTTGCCAGTCAGGCTCTTTGTGGGTGCTGCTGCTTCTCTTCTCCTCTCTTTCCCCTTCAGTCCTCCAGAGTACCTAGGGGAGATTACAGAAGGAACAGATCTTCTCCCTTCCCAGCACAAAGCTGAGCCATTTTTGTCTTACTGTATCTGTTCTGCCCCATTCAAGTCCCCCTTCCCAGAGGTTAAGAAAGCCAGTCTGAGGTATGTTCGAGTGCATCCCACTCCAATTCTTTTGGCTTTGCAGGCATCAGTTCCAAAGATGTATGGCTGCTCCCAGTTCAGATGTTATACAGAAGTAGAGTTAGATGTCATGCTGCCATAAACTACTCAGAAAAGTTCTGCTGGATGAGTACCTGAGGATGCAGTGGAGGCAGCAGAGTAGGCCTTCTTGGCCATTATGGATGCCAAACAAAAGGCAAATTTATGTGCTCGCATTGCTCACATATACGTTCAGGTGGCCTTACAATGAGTCAGCTGGACAACTCTAGCTGTCTCCCGGCTCATTTCATAACCCAGAGCTTACCAAAGAACCAGGGAACACCTAGGGTGCCAAAATAATGGAAGGAGACATGCTTTGGAGCAATCGTATCAACAGCCCATTCCGCCTCATGCGTCTGTAATATGTGTGACTAAAGTTCAACAGGTTCATTAGCTCTGGATAGTGGAATCACCCGACAACATTGAGGAATCTGTCAGATTGCATAACACCCCTGGGTGGACCATCTTAATAACAGGTGCTGCAAGCCCGGATTGCTACCAAACAGTGTTCTGAACATGACGGTGGAGCAACTTCAGCCCCACCAATATCCAAGCCACTCCTCTCACACTGATATTTATTTATTTATTTATTTAGGGACCATCTATGCCGCCCCATTTGCCAAAGCCTCGGGGCGGCTCACAAACAAAAATAAATAACATCATATAATATGCAGAGATTAAATCAAGAGTATCCTTTCCATTGACACAATGACGAATTGAGACAGCCTCAGTGTTCTCATGGAGCCCATGAAGTCCCAAGTAAGCCTGGCCAAAGCCACAATGGCATGAATCCACCAACATGCTCAAGAATACCCCGAGCAGTACAGCAGCAACACCCCCAAACTGCCACACATGCCCAATGTTAGATATAGGCTGACATGGCCTGCCCTGGTCTAGAGAGGTTTCCTGGTGAGTGAGATGGCCCACAGTGCCTCTTCCACCCTGGCATTCTAACCTGGGTTGATGCTGCACGAAACACCCAGGTGGGGAGAGCTAGGTCAACCTGCTTACCCAATAAGATCACAGGTTTAGCAAAGTCATCTTGTGAAAGATCAGCTATTAAGCAGCAGCAACACCAGGTGAGAGGGACCAGTAGCCATGCCAGCAAGTGCTTATCAATGAAGAGGAAGTTCAACAGATGCAGTGGCCTACATGCACCTATATTCTCTGGACTGTTGATTCCCCCCACCTTCCCAAGCGATACCTGACTTGTAATTGCTCCTACAGGGGCACCCCATTCCCCCTCCTATTCCTCTTTTCTAGATACATTCAACCCACCAAACAGTCCACACACACGTTCCTTAAAGGGATACACATGCGCCTCATACTCGGAAGCAAAGAAGCAGTGTCCCAACACTTTCTATACTTAAGACACAAATTTAACAAGCATATAAGGTGTGCCTTCACAAGCAGAAATCAAGCCTTTACCTAGGTTTGA